TCAGTCAGTCAGTCAGTCAGTCAGTCAGTCAGTCAGTCAGTCAGTAAGTAAGTAAGTAAGTAAGTAAGCAAGCAAGCAAGCAAGCAAGCAAGCAAGCAAGCAAGCAAAAGTAAGCAAGTAGATAAGCAAATAAGCAGGCAAGAGTGAACAAGCAAGCAAGCAAGCAACAAGCAAGCAACAAGCAAGCAAGTAAGTAAGTAAGTAAGTAAGTAAATGGGTTGGTTGGTTGGTTGGTTGGTTGGTTGGTTGGTTGGTTGGTTGGTTGGTTGGTTGGTTGGTTGGTTGGTTGGTTGGTTGGTTGGTTGGTTGGTTGGTTGGTTGGTTAGTAAATACATACGTACGTTATGTACATACGTAAGTAAGTAACCCCCGGGGCAGTGCCATTGACTGTAGTGTCTTTAGGCCATTCCCAAAGGGAGGACATTTCTCGTTCAAGCACAGTAGAATTGTAAATGGGCTGATTCATGTCACATTCATAACTGTGCCTGATCTACAACAGGGAACTGCTGCTTTTTCTTTCCTAATCCTTACTATTGTCATTTTCCTCTACTTCATTAGTATGTTTGTCACTCTCTTGTGGCCCGCTATTTCCAGGGTGCATTGATAGTCGAAGCAGACCTTGTGCTGTTGAAACTAGAGAAGTGAGCAGAGTAAGTCTGATTCCCTGTAAAGACTTCTCTGTTAACACCCACCCATTGGCGCTCATATGACCTTATGCAGTTGCAAGCGCCGCAAAACCCTCTACAATATAAAAAAAGCAAGTAAGTAATTAAGTAAGTAGTAAATATGTAAGTGAGCGAGCAAGAAAGCAAGCAGACGAACGAACGAGTGAGCGAGTTAGGTAATGAGTGAGTGAGCGTGTGAATGAGTGGGTGAGTAAGTGTGTGAGTGAGTGAGTGAGTGAGTGAGTGAGTGGGTGAGTGGGTGAGTGAGTGAGTGAGTGAGTGGGTGAGTGAGTGAGTGAGTGAGTGAGTGACTGGTGGCTGGTTCCTCTTCTCTAAATCAGTCTCTATCTGTAAACGCTGAAGCTCACTTTATCACTTATGTGCTCACACATACACGCACACACACTTGCACACACACACACACACATACACACACAAACACACACATACACACACATACACACTCACTCACACACATTGACACAAATGAGTTCATGCACAAAATACACAAATGCGCATATCGACACACACGCACGCACACACACACATGCACATACATACACACACATAAACACATACACACAAACACACACACACACACACACACACACACACACACACACACACACAAACACTCACAAACAGGTGCACATACACTTAACACACAAATACACATACACATTCACACTCCCACACAAGCACACATAGACACACACGTACACACGTACACACCCGCGCGCACACACACACACACACACACACACACACACACACACACACACACACACACACACACACACATGCACACACACACATACATTTTGTACACAACAGAAATATACAGAAGTTCCAAGAAATTGATTTTAAAAAACTTTTGTCACATAAAAAGGAGACAGAAAAACAAAAACAGGTGAAGATTCTGAGCGAAAACTGAAATTCGTATTCGCAAAAGTTTTACAGCACTTGCAACACAAAAGGGTCATATAAGTGCCGAAGATTAGAGTTAGATTCTAGAGGTGTTACAAGAGAGTAACAAACACAAAAAAGAAGGAGGGGAGATAAAGATGAAAGATGTTTGATAGGAAAGAAGAAGCAAACCACACCAGAGCACCCGCCAACCACCCACCAAACTGAAATTCGGCTTGTCTCACCTCACAGTTGCTGTTGTCCTTGAAGTAGTCCAATAGCGTGGACTTTCCGCTGGCAATGTTCCCTTCCACCACCGTCTGCAGAAAAAGTGAGTTTTAGTAAGGTTTAGTTTAATTTTAGTAAGAGTTTTACGGCACTTGCAACGTCATAAAGTGCCGAAGATTAGAGGTGTTACAAGAGAGAAACAAACTCCAAAAAGTAGGGGAGATAAAGACCATACGTGTTTGATATATATATGAAAGAAGAGGCAAACCGCACCAGAGCAACAGAAAAAGGAAGGGGCAAAGCATCAGAACAGCGCACTTTCGGGGAAAAAAGTATCAAAGCCGCCCACTGTCAGAACCGCACAGTGAAAAAATAACTTGTATCAAAACTGCGCTCTTTTGAAATAAAAGAGTCAAAGCCTCCACTATTACCTTGCCCCTCCCCCCCCCCCCCCCCACAAAAAAAAAAAAAAAGGCG